CGCGCTTTGTCAGTCTACATATATGAATCGCTGTAAAGGGTCTGTCTGTTTTTATGCCTTCATTTCCGCACTATGTGCACTCGGTAATTTTCAGAACATATTGTCACGTACAGTCGGGACCAATCAGCGTTTGTGACACTAACTAGTGATAATTATTAAAAACATGCCTAAGCGCCGCAATATCTGTAGAGTTAGCGTGAAATGTATTCATTCTTCTTACATTAACCCTATTAGTGGCAGGGGGGGGTTGTTTTTTCCACCCCTCAGGTTTTCGGGAATATCCGAAACCGCTGAAGCTACGATGCTGAAATTTTCTGACTTTTCCTAAAACTAAATTGGGCACATTCCCTGAAAATTTCAAGTTCATAACTTAACCAGGGGCGGCTCCAGAGCACGGGAATTGGGGGGTCCTATTCGTGAAGCGAGTCATTTGGGCGAAGATCACGACGCTGCACCAGTTTTACGAACAGTGAATAAAAGGTATCATGTGATAACATATACAAAGTTATTGTGCATCCTCTTTTGACACGTTTTTGCATAATAGGCGGATCCAGGTGTCCAAAAAGGGGGGTTATTTTTACCTCCCAACATAGGTGCCCTGACACCGCCTATGCATGACCAATACAATTTTAGTCGTTCTTCATAAGAAAATTGTAACATAACAAGACCATTGCCACCCTTTTAGAAACAGTACCAACAAAACCCTTATTTACTATACTTTTTGTGTACCCCCAATCTCAATGATCTGTATCCGCCTATGATTTTTGAAAATGCATATTTTTAGGACCCATGTGAATTCCTGGTTCATCTCTATCGATCGGCAAAAGTTGCGTTAAGATTGGTTCAGAAACCTGCCGTGATAAACAGTCTAAAATGTATCTGCAATTTGCCGTTTTTACCCCCTCTACCCCCCCATATGACATTTTTTAATTTTATTTTTTTACAAATGTAGACTCGTTGAGCCAAATCGAATGCCGTTTGAATTTTGAAAATCGGCCGGTTAGATCTCGAATATCAAGGGGGGGTCGTAAACAGCCCCCCCTGCCACTAATATGGGGTAGCCAGGAGCCTGCCACTAATAGGGTTAAGTCTTGGACATGTGCTTAAAATAGCTGTTATATTCCTCACATCTGTGTGAAACAAGCCTTGATGAATTCACGGGAAAATAACAAATGAAACATCAAAAAGTATTTATGCGCCAAATATGCCTCCTCGTACCACCGGAGGTCGGTTGTCATGAATAATGCAACAACAAAGTTCGTCATTTTCCGTTTCAATTAGCACTGTTAATATACCACCACCAAACTAATGAATAAAACAATAAATAACCTCATATGCAATGGCAACATCAATTACCATCTACTCTAAATGCATTCACCATGAAATTCTCCAAACTTCTGGCCCACATTTCCCTAAATAACCAAACTAAACAATCAAACATTAAATAAAACAATGTGAAACCTGCCAGTGACGCCCAGACCCGCCGGCGTGCACAAGTTCACAGTCAGTTATATAACCTACTGCGAACGAAGGAGAGGTCAGGGGTACATGACTGAAGCTCTCACGAGCGTCCTGTCAATGGGACAGGGAGTGCCATATCGGAACGTATGATAGATGGGGGGGACGGGGAGCGTGGGGGAAGAGAGGGAGGGAGGGGAGGGGGAGGAGAAGAGAGGGGAGGATGGGAAGGGAGGAGAGAGGGAGAGGGAGGGAGAGAGGAGGAGAGAGAGAGAGAGAGGGAGAGAGAGAGAGAGAGAGAGAGAGAGAGAGAGCGAGAGAGAGAGAGAGAGAGAGAGAGAGAGAGAGAGAGAGAGATGTGGAGGAGACCGGACAGTGTATTGGAGGCAGTTTATTGGAGACAGTGTATGGAGTTCTATTGAACCCGTCTCCAACACAATACAATAGAGACAAAGAGAGGAACTAGCGAAGAGGACTGTAGGGAATGTATTGGGAAAGTGAGATATACTGAAGTGCGACGGGAGTGTTCCGTAAAGCTTGTATGAGGAGAGACGAAGAAGAAAGGGTATATGCAGGGACAGGGTCAGGGACATGAAATGGCGTCGGGCTCATGTGTCCTATCATAGATAACATGAATTATGTTATCACATAGGCGGCGGAACGGGGGCACCGTGTCCCCTTTGATTTTGGCATTTTAACATTAGCCCTATGGGCGTTGCATGGAAAGAATGGGACCAAAAGTCGGCAGTGCCCCCCCCTTAATTGGAGGTGTTCGCCGCCACTGTGTTATCATGTTACTCATGTTATCTATGGTCCTATCCATGGGTTACAGCCATTGGGAAAACACACTCCATTAGCCACTAAAACACAATAAACTACTAACAGGAAACAATTCATTATTTTCTCTTCGGAGAGGCACTCACCTGTTCCCATAGGCTGGGCTGGTTGATGGATTTTAGAAGATCCTTCCGCGTCAGAGCCGCCGCCATCGGGTAGCCGTTGCCTAGCAACGACAGTCAATACAGCTTGCATCACATCTCAGCCAAAGGTCGCAGCGCTCTCAGGAGTCGGAGTGCGCTATGGCAGCGCTGTTCGGATTCATCTATTCGTTCATCTAACATACAGTGCACTTACTAATTTCACACATGGCACCGAATACATTTTGTAATTGTAATTGGTGCATACCACACACATCAGTCGGGCCGGTATTTTTCACTTATTGTCGATGTGTGAATGCATGTAATCTGCATATTGACATTAAAAACATTCCACATGTTACGTGACGATTACAACTCATTACATAATTCCATCGATATACTTCAGCAATATTTCCCTCATAAATGAAGTTTCTCCCGCCGATGTGTGTGTCAATTCTTTTTTTTAAATTTCGGTAATATTTCCCTGATCAGAAGGCTTCCCATGCCATTTTTTCTCGGTTATTTGGGTAATATTTCCCCGTCAGTAGTGTTTATCTTACCGATAGGCTTTCCACAGCAGATGAAGTCGGGATCGCCGCTCTCCCCCTGGAAGCCCCAGAACGACTTTCCGTTCCGCCCCATCGCAGTGCACATCTCATCGGAAATCACCAGCGCGCCCAGACTGTGCATGTAGCTGCCGAATAGAGGTGGGCAAGGCGTCAATAGAGGTGGGCAAGGCGCCAATAGAGGTGAGAACAGACTCAAAAGAGGTGGAATAAGCGTCAATAGAGGTGAGATAGAGGTGGGAACGACGTCAATAGAGGGGAAAAGGCGTCAATAAGGGTGGGTGAGGCGTCAATAGAGGTGGGATAGAGGTAAGAACGGCGTCAATAGAGGTGGGCAGGGCGTCAATAGAGGTGAAAAGGAGTCAATACAGGTGGGAACAGACTCAATAGAGGTGAAATAAGCGTCAATACGGGTGGGCGAGGCGTCAACAGAGGTGGGCAAAGCGTCAATGGAGGTGGAAAAAGCGTCAAAAGGGGTGGACAAGGCGTCAATAGAGGTAGGGTAGAGGTGGGAACGGCGTCAATAGAGGTGGGAGCGGACCCAATAGAGGTGAGGAAATATTCATTAGAGGCGTGGACGGCGTTAACAGAGATGAGAAAGCGTCAATAGAGGTGGGAGCAGTGCCAATTGAAGTGGGAATGGCGTCAATAGAGTTGGGAATAAGGTAGGTATGACGTCAAAAAAGCTGGACGATAGAAGTAGGCACGGCATCAGCACGAACTAGAACAATAAGGATATACCTACAAACGTGCATAGCACACCATACGCGATCACTCGTGGGCCCTACACAACATTCCCATTAAGTCATTGCTGACCTGTTCATTGAGCAGTGGTATGAACATTAGCAAGGAATTTGATATCGTATCTAATGAAAACTCATTTTTAAAGTACTTACTCGTGTATTTTCCGCAGCCAACCGGGCGGCGGGATCACAATACCCGGCACGGTCATCACTGGCTCACTGAGGAAACAGGCGATCTGGAGAGCACAGCAGCAGCAGGTCAGGTCAGCGTCAGGTCATGATCAGGTCAGGTGAGCCAGGTCAGTCGTCAGGGTAAGGCCAGGTACAGGTCAGGCTGAGGGTTAGGTCAGGATCGAGGTCAGAGTCAGGTCAGGGGCGGAACAGTTTCCGTTTCATTCATTCCGTTTCATTCATCGTCAGTTCAGGTCAAGGTCGGGGTCAGAGCCAGGTGAGAGAATAGGCTCAGGTTAGGTCAGAGTCAGGTCAACCGCCAGGGTAAGGCAAGGGACAGAGTCAGGTCAGGGTCAGGTCAGGGTTAGTTCAGGGCCGGTTCAGGCTCGGTACAAAGTCAGGGCACGGTTAACAAATTCCAGCCAGCATGCACCACCATCGAAAAGATACCATAAGGTGTGGAGAAAGAGCAGCGATTAACGCAGAATATGAAACTAGGGAATGGCGAAGCAACGGTTGATGAAAAACACGACTCCTTCTAACTAGGTGAAAGGAGGTTTGCAGAAATAGCCTCTCAAGGAAAGTTACATACATGAGCTGTGTAGCGGCATAAACAAGTGAAATAAATAAAGCAACGTCGCGACCGAGGGGACAATGGGTCGAACTATCAATCTGGTAAGCAGGCTGTCATGAATCGCCTTGTCCTTTGCTATCATTACACTGAGAAAGTCTTCGTTGGCTACAGCTAGGCAAAGTAAACAAGCCAAGTAAGCGATTCACCAATCCAGTAAACAATGTAAGCAAGGCAAAAGCAGCCGACAGGCCCACGGTCGGAATGAACTGAAGCACGAAAACCTGGTACAGTTTGCAGTTAACACAGAACTACTGCTAGGTACCCGATCATTTAGTAGATCCCAGACAATGTGGACCCTGCACTGGAATGCAAAGTTCCGATGTGAGTGTTTTCGGAAAGGTAAACAAATCGTGAATGGTCTTAAGACCATTAACGATTCATGAACTCTGGGAAGCATCAGCTTACATAAGTATGTAAGCTGATGCTTCCCAGAGTTCATGAGTTGCATGAAAGAAATCTATTTTTGGGCACTCACTTTCAGCTCTTTGGATCAGGCAGCGCAGCATATTGACTCACAATTAATAAATGCAATTAGAAAAAGGCCATAGTTAGTGTTCATGGAAAAGTAAATAAGGTTATTCACAAAGAGGGTGCGCACAGAGTAACAAAGTGTCAGTTATTTTACCTTTAAGGGATAAATAAAAAATATATTGATTCAACTTAAGTGAAAAGAGCGAAGCTGCGCAACAACAATATATCATATCACATACCTTAACCAAAGGATGTAGGCCGACATGTGGCTATGCCCGCCAAGTTTTATGATAAAATTCTAGCATCCAAACAACCAGACCGCTTTCAACGAATCTGCTCATGTAGGTAATAGCCAACTTCTAAGACTTGCTATCTTATAGCGTATGACACTTTTCGCGAATAACTGGCAAGAAAGAAAGTAATGTGCAGCATTTCGGGGCGCTAAAAAGAGACAACATCTATGTACATATTTGCGCTACGTTGGAACATGTCGCAAAAGTAACTGCCCGAAAATGGTTGAAGACAAGACGCAGAGTGCGACTAAGGCAATATTCCAAGGTTATTTCTCTCAACAAAGGTACGGTTGCTCGATAGGATATGACTGGTGTGCAGTTGATAAAATCGGGATAAATAAAAGAATGAAAGAAATTTATGTGGTGCGCTTTTAAAATGATTAAGTTCCAAACTAAAATATAGCGTGAAAATCAACCAGTAACATATTGAGAAAAATATTTTATATCACGTCTCTAACATCGTTCTATGTGTATTATAGTGTTGCCAGTTTCAGGAAAGCCGTCCAATGTCTGCCCAACGTGCAAAATCCTGGCTCCTTTTTGTCCCAAATCTGTCTAAAGCATGACATTGTCCTAAAGCTGCCCGGAAATTGGACATAGAAAATAAAGAGTGGTGCTAATTTTAGAAGCTATAATTAAACGTCAATTTGTTTCAAATGCCCTTTTATGGTCCAAAATTGCTCATTATCATCACAGCTTAACAAATAAATGTCGGAGACGAATACTACATGAAAATGCTGGAGTGTTATAAATAATTCACCAACTTCGTCCAGACGATAGCTAGCTGGCTTTGTTCAAAACCTTATTCTGCTTGAGCATTGGACAAAATGGGAAATCCGAGTATCCGATTTCCAAACAGCACTATACCTTACTTTATCTCTCTCCGAGGTAGGCCTAGGTACTAACAAACAGATATACAACCGTATATATTTGTATCGAGTTTAGCCCTGTCGCCGGTACCTACATGATTGATTTGTTTTGCTGTTTTTTTTTTTCACACACGATCAGCATCCTTCTGACTTTCAGCTGCCCTTCAACAATAATAATATTGAAACAAATCATTTCACGTCACGTGTAGCCCTCCCACGTGACTTTTGTCGACATCCCGCGACACGTGACTGAATCAGTCACGTGGTATTGGTCACACGTGACAATAGCAGTCACGTGTTCCAAACGCGGAGCAATGCCTGCTGCCTTGTCATGGTTGATTCCACAAAGCCAGCCTTTGGGGGATGATTGGACGAGCAGAACAGAACAGTTTTCCTATACCTACCAATACTTTGAATGCGAAAGTCATTGAAAAAATACAGAGGCTCCAAAGCTGCGGAAGCCTCCGTATAAATGTCGGGAAAAGTGTATAGCTGAAAAAACGTATATTTCTAAAACAAATACGTGCTTGTTATGTGTTTACAAGAAGGTCACCACATGTTGTAATGAGGACCTTACGCATTCACCCGCAAATTGAGTAAAAGAATGCATAATGCTCAGCCATGGGGAGCTAACATTACTATTTTTATTTTTATTTAATCATGTTTTTCTTTTAACTGGAAATTTAAAGGGTAAAAATATCATTAAAACAACTAGACTTTAAGTACCAATCTAACCTTAAATATATCAATATACCTACGGCATCAATCTATCAAAAATCATTGTACTTTTATGCAACGTAGGTATCGAGCATTTAAACCCACATAAATATAAATAAAATCACCGAGCATGTTTCATAACCGGACTGCCAAATTTGAACCTTATAACTCATCCGGATAACCGATGCTGATCATTTGTCCCGGTATAGGATAATGCAGTATAATCAGCTGGTGTCCTAGACGACCTTTTATATAACGGAATACGTCTCAAGTGGTACGGGGACAAGAGAGCTCAATGGTCACATACGCCAGGGTACGCGGAGCCAGTCAGGTTATATAAGGCGGCTAATAATAGCATCATATAATGAATAGGAGGAAGTGTTTTCCACGAGAGTATGGTGCCGCTGTCGCACTTGTACAGCATAATAACTCTATTGCGCAGTTTGCAGTGGGAATATCAATCGCAAAAATCAATGACGCTCTCGTCGTGTTACCCTTTTGTTGATTCATCGGTAAAACATCAAGGTACGTGTTTCAATAATTCATATACAAACATTATACTCGTATAGCTATCAGCCGCTCCCCCAAAACAAGATGTTATATAACACGTGCGGTGTAAGATTTCAACGAAGCGTATCGGCTCAAAGGAAGGTCCCTTGATGCATCTTACATTAGCATTCAATGTCGATATGACCCGAGGTCACGACGACGCAGATACACAAAACCGGGAGCCAGACGAATATCAGAGCACAACACTGGCTGCAGAACATATTATAAAAAAACTATATTGGCTATCCAGGATCTGAGTCGATAAAAAGCGACGGAGAGCGGGGAGCGGACACATTTCAGACGACAAATGGGTTCACAAGCGAAATACAAAATATACAAAACACCAAGGCATATTTCCAAATTGTTGCTTGATTATTAATGCTCGTAGTTGTGTTAGGGTACAGCAAAACTATTGCTAATAAGAAATACTTCACGAGGCGAGAATAAAAGAAAAGGAAACAGACAATGGACGATGGTGTGTACAACGAAGGAGTGTTAAATGGACGATGGTAATGCAATGAAGGTAAACATGTACAAATACTTTTTGTTGGCACTCTCTTATTTCAAAAACCCCATTTCCAGGGAAGTCATCGAAAATGGCGCATTTTCAGTCTTTGCAGTCTGCTGTGCAAAGTACTATCGTTCAAAAGACATAAATATCGTACATAATAGTTTTATCTCTAACCACTGAGAATGGGCCAGATGCGCCACAATCGTCACTTCCCAGACGCCCCGAAACAGAAGTGTGGCTTATCTGACATTACGCAATTCCGTCACGGAAGGTGCAACGGCCCACAGTGCACGAGCACCCTACACAGACGTCGCCCTATGTTATTAAGGTCAACAAATGCACTGCGAAGGCATTTATTGACTCCCCCCTCCGTATTGAAACAAAGATACGGTCGCCAAACTGTGGATAGCTGAAGCACGTCCGATTTACCAAATTCAAGAAGTTCAAAGCAAAGCGTTCAAAGGAGCTACGAAACCCTACTAAACCACACAGTCGATTGGGTATGGTATTGCTCTTCGTTCATATGGTAACACCCAGCGTTACAATCGCACGGGATATAGTGAACTATTAAAATGATATTTAACTCAAAAGTCAAAATTATTATCACACACCATTGTCTGCAGAGAAGGCACATTCAAAACTAATCCGAAAAGGACAATCCTAATTTAAGTTGGTCGACTGTTCATCCTTCAACATTGCATAAATGCAAAATGATGCCAATCTTCTTTCGCATTGTCGCGTCACATTGGAGGGACACAGGTTACACCTATTTGCTACCAAGTCGTCTTTCTGCAACGGAAAATCTCCGCGTCTTCTGACTCACACCAAGTTGTACCAATTTTAAAGAATTGGGGGACTAAAATCAAAGCCAATGTCAACCATAGCCATCAATATCGTTTCAAACTCACATCACTTATCCCGCTAAAAATATTTACATCAGTCATTTCTCACTATCCTCTTTCCATTTTGTCCCTAACCAACGACTTTCCTACGTTTCAATCTCCCCCTTCCCCTCTTCCTCCCACTCCCTAGTATCTCTCTCTCTCCCCTCTCTCTCTCCCTCTCTCTCTCACTCTCTCTCTCCCTCTCCCTCTCCCTCTCCTCTCTCACTCTCTCACTCTCTCTCTCTCTCTCTCTCTCTCTCTCTCTCTCTCTCTCTCTCTCTCTCTCTCTCCCTCCCTCCCTCTCTAGTCTCTCTCTCCCTCCCTCCCTCCCTCCCTCCCTCTCTCTCTCTCTCTCTCTCTCTCTCTCTCTCTCTCTCTCTCTCTCTCTCTCTCTCTCTCTCTCTCTCTTCTCACCTTCCGTCCCCGCGCCATGGCAGCCTCTATGACCCGCTTGGCGTCCTGAAAGTACAGTTCAGCTGCGTCCTTCTTCCCGGCGTGAGGTCCTCGGTACATGTCCGGCATGGGGATGATGTGAACCCACGCTTTAGGCGCTGTAAAGACACAGGGAGAGCGGGAGATGTGAACCACGCTTTAAGGGCGGTGGAGACGCTTAACGAATAACGAGAGATGTGACCCACGCTTTAGGCGCTGTGGAGACACATAACGAGAGATGTGAACCCACACTTTAGGCGGTGATATAAAATACGGTCGGGATAGTGTGAACCCACGCTTTAGGTGCTGAAACAGAAGGAGGAAAACATGTGAACCCACGCTTTATGAGCTGTGGAGTCAGTATGAGCGAGAAATGTGATCACACGCTTTAGGCGCCGTTGAGACAGAGTGAGTATGAACCACGCTTTGGGCATCATAGGGACACAGAGATCGACAGATATGGACCAACACTTTAGGCGCTGTGCACGAACATACGAAGTAGTACACAAAAATGCCGACAAAGCATTCACCAGAACACATTTCAAATGGGGAACAAAATCCACCAGAATACACTAATGCGCAGCAGTGCTACCAAATTCCTTCCTCACTCACTGAGTTGTTTACGTCTGCTTTCTTACACGTAGGTGCTCTCGATAAACTCCTCTTAACTCCCTCTATTTTCACTGTCTTGTTTCCGTTGGATTTCCCTGCGCGATATCGATAAACTCCTTCTACACTCACTGAGATGTTTCTGTTTGATTTCCCTCAGGAAAAACTCTATTAACTCCTCCTAACTCCCTCTGCACTCACTGAGTTGTTTTCGTTTGATTTCCCGGAGCGAGAGCTCAATAAACTCCATAAACTCCTCTCAACTCCCCCTGCACTCACTAAGCTGTTTCCGTTTGATTTCCCGGGGCGAGATCTCGATGACCGTGCTGAGACAGCCGTGAAAGCAGTTATCCACCACCACTACATCGTGACAGCCCGTGTAGCCGCGGGCGATCTGCAGCGACAGGTCGATAGCCTCCGACCTGGGGGCACACAAATGGCTGGTTAGCCTCTAACCAGGGTATACAAATGGCTGGTCATTTACATTAGCCTCTGACCTGGAGGGAGCATGGCTGTCAATAGCCTCGGATTGGGGACACACAAATGGCTGGTCAATAGCCTATAGCATTGAAACACGAGTGGTTTGTCAAAGTAACCTGTGACAATGACAGAGCAATGATTTCTGACAATCCCGAAAGCAAAATAGAGAAAATCACCCCACAAAAGCAAACCAAGGGCACCAGTAAATGTGAATAGTTTTTACACGGTATGATATTTAACACAACTCACCCCGTTGAAGTGAAGAGCGCCGCGTCAAACCGCGGCCCACTGAGCGCCAGCAGCTGTTTGGGGTAGCTGGCCAGGTCAGAGGTCAGCGAGAGGTCACAGAAGGTCGTGAACAGAGCGCCGATGTGACTCCTGGAGGCCTCCACCACGGCAGGGTGACAGTGACCCACTGGGAAACGCAGAGACAGGAAGAGAGTCAGATGGGAAATCGACGGGTTGTTCAAATTGTGAGGTTGTCACTCAATAAGAATGCGATAATGCGAAAAATAAACATGATAAGATGCAGTTCATGCTTGCAAACAGATGGTTAATTACTTATGTAAGCTTGCATTTATCCTTGTACCTATTTCAGACTGTTTATATTTATTTTTATTATTTCAAACATCCTACCAAAATAAAGGCCATGAACATTGCAAGGTACTGTCCTTGTTGCCTGTAAGAATAATAAATTCTTACCCCAATCATAATTCTACATTAGCATCAAATTTGCGTCCCTCGGCACGCCAAAGCGCCCTCTGAGCATTCAAATCCCGCGCGATAATTCCCCCGGTCAGCTCACCTCCGGAAATGCTCCCGGCGCAGTCGATGTACTCTCTTCCTTTGTCATCGTACATGTACTGGAAGCGGGCGCTGGACAGTCGCAGCGGCGCCTTGTCGTAGTGCAGCAGACACGTGCTTCTGCGGATCAACGAGAGATGGCGTTAGTGACGTTTACCGGTCACCGAGAGGGAACGCTAGTGAGATACATTGGACAGACGCGGCGGCGCCTTGTAGTAGTGCAGCAGACACGTGCTTCTGGAGGTCAACAAAAGATGGCGTTAAAGAGCTACTTTGGACAGACGCAGCGGCGCCTTGACGTAGTGGAGCAAACACGTGCTTCTGAGGGTCACCAAGAGAGGACGCTAGTGAATACACTGGTCACCGAGAGAGGGCGCCAGTGAGTTGCATAGGTCACCGAGAGAGGACGCTAGTGAGTTTCACTGATCACCGATAGAGGGCACTAGAAAGCTACACCAGTCACCGAGAAAGGATGCCAGTGAGTTGCATGGGTCACCGAGAAAGGACGCTAGTGAGCTCCCCTGGTCATCGAGAGAGGGCGCTAGTGAGCCATATTGGTCACCGACAGATGGCGCCAGTGAGTTACACCGGTCACCGAGAGAGGGCGCTAGTGTGGTGGACTTGTTATTTCGCCAGCCATCAATATGTAGGGGAAGCGGGGGGAACACCGCCACTGTGGGAAACACCGCCACCCCATCTGGGCCCGATTTCACCAAGTGAATATATTCTTGGTGTACTTTGGAAAAGTACACCGACAAAGTACGACGATAATACTATTCTGTTTCACCACAGGAATATATCCACTACGCCCGCTGCCGCTTTACGTACTTTGAGAGCCACCGGCGCGCATGCATACATCTTGTCGGGGACATGCAGTCACTATATTTTTCCGTATTTAAAGTCGACGGGCTTAAATGCTTAGATAGGCAATATCATGAAAAAAATTCTAGCTACGCTAATAAGAATTAAATTTGATCATACAAGAGGAAGTACCTAAACAAATATTGCTAATAATGCTCTTGATTTTTGCTTGGAGCATGACATTCCAAAGCCAAAAATGTAAACAATCGGCAGCAAGCCGCGCAGCACAGTTCAAGTTACTGGCGTGTGTGGGTTTTATTCATATTGGATTTTGAATTTATATTAATTTTTCATCCAAGTTAATTCTCATTAAATATTGCTTTAATATTTGTTCACATCTTCTACGCAATTCTGGAGTGGTTCAGAGCAAATATAAATAAAGCTGAACAAGAAATGGTATTACCTGAGGCACCTATCTAACTACCGATCACTGATGATAGCAAGGAGCACGGCAGACTAGCCGACAAGTTATCTGAAATATTACTTGAATCAAGTTTTAAATAATCGAAGGGGCTAGCGACGACTTCAAATATGGAGAATATTTTGGAATCATTCGGCAGACTGAACCTGAACGGAAGCGGGAAGCCGGTGATAAATTGAATCATTTGGCCACAACACAAGATAAATATGGACATTGGACAGCATATGGGTACTGCAAAGAAATAGTAAAAGTGGTCGATGAAAACGAATGTAATGAAGCGTTGTGACTTGTGATGCAACATGCTGGGCAAGTCAATCAAGGCGTTGCTGGACTGGACTTCAGTTCTTCCTCTCACCCTCGCCAGCTATTTACTTCCTCTTCGGTAAAACGCTCTATAAAGAGCACGGTGTAATAATCACGGTGAGAAAGATTTGACACGCTTTTGGCCTTTTGTGTTATCAAAATACAATGTGAACTGTCGTTTTTTTTTAAGTGGAAAACTCAATGTAATCGGGAATGCGAATGAAAAAGGAATTCCCTGTTGTGTTTCTGCATGATGGGGTGATTTTAATCGCAGTGATGCCACGATGAGATAAGCCTTATAAAAATAGCTGTTCTGGGGTTTAATTTCAATATGAGCCCTGACACACGATACCTTATATATCCAGCAAGAAATAACCAGTATGACCTCTAAAACTTTTTGCGTAGCCAGTGGCATGTTTTTATCATACGTTGCATCGACGAAGTTACTAAATTTGTAACAATATCATACAAAAAAATTGATGTATGCCAAGCTGTTTCTCAAAGTATGCCACAAAAAGTAGCATACTTTCAATGCCAGCAAACTCGGCAAACAGCTGTTGAAAAAGCAGATCGGCGTACCAGAGGTACCTCAAATGTAACAGTATGCCAAAAAACGACGGACTTATGCAGTCATATGCGTGGTTCACACCGGATCCGTAATGACCGTTACGTGCCGTAATGAATACGTCGGCGATTAAATAATATCTTGAAAGTGGAGGGCACAATGCAACGCGCATGCGTAGTTCGATTTTTTGGCGACGTAACGCCGTATTCGTTACGGATTCGGTGTGCACCGGGAATTGCCATGTTGAGCGCCGTCCTTCGAATCAAGTGCGCCAAAACTATTTTGCTTATACATAAACAATCGAAAAATGGGCTAAAGCTAAGAGCTGTTTCTTAATATCGGTGCGTCAGAATTTTAATTGGTTTTGCTCTCTTCTTTTTGAATTTATTCCTATCACTTTTGCATAGTGGTTTATAATTGTATGGAGGCATATCATTGTTAATTAACTACAATTGTGGGCATGATACTATACAGAGAATCTTTTATCCTTTTTTGGCATAAACAAGAAAACATGCCTATGCTGGTCAACGCTGAAGTTCATTTTCTACACTCGTGAATCGCTGCTATCCATGGGCAAGATCAACGTACGCATCGTACAGTTTGCTCCATTGGCTTGCGAAGAGGCGGTGCAGTGTCCGTCCAAGCATCAAGTCTAGCAGGGGCAATATGGGCAGCGAAGTTGACTCAGAACTGCATAAAAGACGTGGCACGAGAATCTATGTACCTATTGGAATTTAATTTGTGGACTTTGAACTTGACCTGTAGGCTGTAACATACCTACATGATTAGGGTTAGGCTAGGCCTACGAAGGAAATGTTATCTTTAAAGGAAAAGGGCCACCTTCGTGAAATATGAAGATATCGTTGTTTTTCATTTTGACATTATTATTTTTCATTTTCTTTTTAAAACTGGTGCCAGAAGTGCACAATTCGCTAAAAAGTATGTAAAACTATTTAACATATTGGTACTATGTTGATACTCTCTACGGCACCTACTGTATGATGGCATAGCGATGACGTCACACTCAAGCCAATCAGCGTTCAGAAGACAGACTCGTCGGATTGTGTCAGATAAGCTGATTGGTTAAAGCTGAGCTGGTTGGAGCTGATTGGTAAAAAACCAAAGCCTCGCCGCGGGTGGCTGTATTGTCGGATAAGAACGCATTCCTGGGATAAGGACGCATTCCTGGCGTATTTTCTTTTAAAATTGCCGATAACTACGAATGGAGGCCGAAATCGGCCGTAAGGAGGTAGACAGATACGTTTTCGGACACGGGCTACAAGATGGCTATCTCAGTTTCAATCCCCATGTTAAAGGTGGCCCTTTTCCTTTAAATAAACGAGTGAAATGTAATTACGGAACATGAATTTTATGTACGTCACTCAAGAGATACAAAGTAGGTTGTGACATACTGAAGGCATACCTACATGAAATACCTAATGCCTAAAAATCAGTCGGCGAGTTGATACGATTTTTTCAAGTAGAAAGGTCCGCACTTGCACACGAGCAGACCGCTACCCGCTACCCAGACCAGCCCAATCAATCGCAACATGTGAGAAGGGGTGGGCACGTGCGCATGTGCCGACCAATACTCTCGCTGACCTTTGCAATCTGCATAGTTTATATGCGTGGTGTCATTCAGCATACCAAAGTCCAAATGTGAGCGCTATCGGCCCAGCCGATCCCGAGATATGAAAAAGGGGTGCGCACGTGCGCACGTGCCGATCAATACCTTTGCCGACTTGTGAATTCTACATATAAGCAATAAGCATGTTATCATTCAGCATACTTGATGTAAGCACTTTCGGCCCAGCCGATCCCCAGATATGAAAAAGGGGTGCGCACGTGCGCACGTGCAGATCAATGCTTTTGCTGACCTGTGCAATCTGCAAATAAACTTGGTGTCATTCAGCATACGTAATATGAGCGCTATCGGCCCAGCCGATCCCAAGATGCCAAAAAGGGGTACGCACGCGCGCACGTGCAGACCAATGCCTTTGCCGATCTGTTCAATCTTCATATGTACATGGTGTCATTCAGCACACCAAATATGAACGCGATCGGCCCAGCCGATCCCCAGATATGAAAAAGGGGCACGCACGTGCGCACGTGCAGATCAATGCTTTTGTCAACCTGTGCAATTTGCATATAAACATGATGTCATTCAGCATACCAAATATGGGCGCGATTGGCACAGCCAATCCCGAGATGTGAAAAAGGGGTGCGCACGTGCGCACGCGCTGAGGCAATTCGAAATCGTCCTAAGGTCACGGGATGTGTAGTGTGCACCCAGCCAAAACAACAAACAAATATTGAACCGTTTCCATTCAGCCGTTCCCGAGTTATGGTATGACGAGCTCTTTTGGAACCTCTCTCGTCGCACGTGACACGTGCTGTAACAGGCACTCATGAGTGATATCAATAGCACAGTTCAGGGTAGAAAGGATGCAGCCCCTCCCCAAAGAAGACCGCTCATCAAACAGTCAAACCGTTTTGGAGATACATGTCGATAAAAGTCATTACGGCGGCCGGTCGAGCCGAAAAGTTCAATTTTCCCAACTTCTGTTACGTTCCGTAATGAGTACGGTGGACGCTGCCAGTTTGCGGCGACTGGTTGCCACATTTCAACTTCGTCTACAAAAGTCACAATGCTTGGGGAATCTTGAGAAATCTCTAGCTCATTACGTCCGTAACGGTTACGGCGTCATTACGGATCCGGTGTGAACCACGCAATACTTTGTCTTGAACTTGAATAAGTATCCCAGTACGAAGTTTGGTGAAACTGAATATGTCCTAATATGCCAAAAGTGAATATGTACGCCGCCGTAATGGAATATATTCACTTGGTGAAATCGGGCCCTGGCGGCGAAAGTATGAAATGTGAAGTGTAAAAATCCGTTATTTCCTATTAACCGCACGAAGGTAAGCGTCTTCTGATTTGTGTTCCGGTGTTTCAGTGTAATCGAAGCTCAGTGTGGGCATTTAAAGAAAAATGCACATTCTCTTATAAAAATTCGATGAGTTGGGAGCACTTTTGAAT